AAAGCAATTAACTGCAGCCGCCCACCAGACAGAATGGCTGCTTCCCAGCCACTAGAGAGCAACATTCCCACGGCAGAGTCATGCTCTCAACGAGTTCAGCAGAACGAAGATGGAACACTTTGCTAGGCAGAGGGGCACTTCCCAGTTTCAAGTATATTTGCAGGAGTAGAGCCAGCAACAGAATCTCAGAAACGTAGGACGGGAAGGCTGCCTACACAGCAGTGTTATTTCAGATGAACTGGCGTTATTCTGAAATAACAAAGTGTGTCTGCACTACAAGCAGTTATTTCGACAGTGTCGAGCTGGAGGACTTCTCACGCCGACTCCTGTGACCCTCATGGTACGAGGCGTGAGGGAAGTCGGAGGAAGAGTGCTCTCTCTCGGACTTCCTTCTCTGTCCACAGTGCCAAAAGCCAAAATAAGCTTTTTCCACTTAAGCTACACAATTGACATAGCTCAAAATAGAACAAGTACTTCTTAAGGGCCTCCCTGGCCTGTGCTTGCTGACTCTGGTTTACAATATCAGGATTCTCTCTGTACCGACTGCATTCGTAGTACTCGCTACCGTGGGTCTTATTTCGGCTTTAGCCCGGCTGTAGAGACGTGCCCGAGAGGACCTTGATAGGCCATCTAGCCCAGCCCCCTGCACTGAGGCAGGACTAAGTATTATCTAGATCCTAGACCACCCCTGGCAGGTGGGTGTTTGTCTAACCTGTTCTTAAAAACCTGCGTAAGACAAGACATTCCACAACCTCTCTTGGTAATTTCGTTCTGTGCTTAACCACCCTGAGAGGTAAGAAGTTTTTCCTAATGTTTAACCTAAACCTTCCCTGCTGCAATTTAAGCCCATTGCTTCTTCTTCTGCCCTCAGTGGAGAAGAACAATCTATAAGGCCTCTTTATAACAATTTTTTCCAAACTTGAAGATTTATCTGTATCTCTCTCAGTCTCTTCTCCAGACTAAACTAACCCAGTTTTTTCAATGTTCCCACATAGGTCATGTTTTCTAGACCTTAATAATTTTTGTTGCTGCCCTCTGGACTGTCTCCAGTTCGTTCACATCTTGCCCAAAGTCTGGTGCCCAAAACTGGACACCGAGCTCTCACTGAAGTTTCTCAGTAGAAGCAGAAAAAATACTACTGCTACTACTACTTAAGAGCAGGTTAGACAGACATCTATCAGGGATGGTCTCGATGGTCCTGGGTCCTGCCGTGAGGGTAGGGGACTGGACTTGATGACCTCTCGAGGTCCCTTCCAGTTCTAGGATTGTATATAGATTTTTTTATCACTCCTGCAAATACAGCCCAGAATGATGGTCGCTTTTTTTGCGCCAGTGTTATATTATTTACTCATCTTTAGCTTGGGTTCCACTCCCAGATTACTCTTTCCTAACCAGCCATTTTCCATTTTATGTTCCTGCACCTGATTGTTCCTTCCTAAGTCCTGTATTTGGCATCTGTCCTTACTGAGTTTCAGGATTACAGGTTGGTTTGGTATGATACATTATAACAGATCCATGTTGACTGTTACTTATCTTATCTTCTAGCTACAGGTAAAGTGATTGTTCAAGTATTTGATCCATCCCCTTTCTTGGTACTAATGTTAAGCTGACAGGTCTGCAATTCACTGAGTTGCGCTTATTCCCTTTTTATAGACAGGTACGATAATTGCTCTTTCCCAGTGCTCTGGGATCTCTCCCGCTCTCTCAAAGATAGTTGCCAATGGTGCAGAGATCTCTTCCACCAGCTCCCTAAGCATTCAAGAACGCATTTGGTCAGGCCCTGCCAACCTGAAGGCACCCTACTTGTCTAAGCTCTGATTCCATTAGTACTTTGCTTGATGTTGGTTTCACTGACAAAAGTGCTGGTGTGGACAGTGAGTCTCCTGCTGTCATAGTGACCACCGCTCATCGGGAGCGGTTTAATGATGCTGGTGGGAGAGCGGTCACTCATCAGCAAGGAGCTGCTATATGGAGCCTTTGCGGTAGCACAGCTGCAGCAGTACGGTCTGTGCTAGAAACACAGCACAAGGCATTTTCACTTGTTCTTTCTCCAGTCAGCCTCAGATCTTACCCCATCAACACTGACGTTCACTAGGTCAGTCAGACTTGTCACTGCTAACCTGTCTGGTGAAAACACACAAACTAGCCACTGAGCACGTCAGCCATTGCTGTATTTTCTGCTATGATCAGATAACAGGATTCTGATTTAAAGCCCCTAATTCAAATTAGCTAGTAAACCTCATTGCAGGAGGAATACCAGCTAATTCGAGATAGGGCTTTAAATCGGAATCCCGTTTCACTGCCGCGTATAGACGCGGGCAGTTACTTCAGGCTAGTCAATTTCTAAAATGGAGACCAGACAGGAACACGCAAATCAAGCGCGGGATATTTAAATCCCAGGCTTGATTTGCAAATCCGGTCGCCCTCATTAGCCTCCCTAGATCGATCTAGGTGTAGACGTACCCTGAGGTTGCTCAAGTTTGCCTTTTTGAAGCCCATTGTCTTGATTCTGCTGTTTTTCCTCCTACCATGAATGTTATTTCACCATCACTTTTGTTTCAGCTGCCTTCCAACTTCAAATTCTCCACCAGTTGCTCCCTGTCAGAATCAAACCTAGAACAGCTGAAGTCATTTCCCTGATCATTGTAATGATTTGTCTCTGCTACATTTTACATCTTGTTGGACAAACTATCCCCTGTAATACAGTCCCAAGAGATGTGCAGGCAATTGCAATCATCCATCACTAAGTCCTGTGCTTTGGTTAATTTTTTTTTTTTTAAAGCCTCACTACCTCTTCTTCCATGTTTGGCAGGCCACAGTAGATCCCTACCATGACATCACCTGTGGTTTTTTTACTCCTTTTATCCTCACTTAGAGCATTTCAACAGGTATGTGCTCTCACTTCTACTTTAGCCTTGCTTCAGAGAGAGAGAGAGAGAGAGAGAGAGAGAGAGAGCGCGTGAGGGTGTTTGTGTGTAAAATATACATGGCAACGTCCTCCCATTTCCTCTTGGCTCTCCTTCCTGAACAAGCTGTATCCTTCAATACCAGTATTCCTGTCGTGAATTATCCCAAGTCTTTGTGATGTCAATTATGTCGGAACTGTGCTTATTTAGTCGTATTTCTAGTTCTGCCTGTTTATTCCCCATGCATCCCGCATTAGTGAACAGACATCAACGATGTTCATTTACGTTCCCCCCTAATGCTAAGCTATCCAAGACCTTTGCACCAAAAACCTAAGCGGGAATTTACTAACTTTATACAAAGCAGCATAAAATGCTAAATGTGCACAGAATTTTGCTCCCCCTTCCCTGCAGGACTAGACACTCTTACATCTTTAGTGTGAGCACTGATGTAGTTGGCTGTTTCAGAGTCGTCTGCACACTTGGTGAGCCATTTGCGGATGGTGGCGCAGTCTGTAGGTGCGTGGTACATCTGCCGACACTTGAAACTTAACAAGAAGAGAAAGAAATTCTAGTGTTCAGGGGAGTTAATATTTTGTGCTAATAACCAAGAAGCCAGACTTTCCTCATAACCAGGATCTAAATGGGAGAGGTGTGAGGAGACAAGCAGCTTGTCAGGAGGAGGAGGTCTCACAACACACTCCAGTGACAACCCTTCCTATACTACTCCCAGTTCTCTTACTTCACCCATGGACACTGCAAGCCAGGAACGCACTATTAGCTTTCTGCTCCAGTGGAAGTTTATTCTTATCCTGGAGAGGACCTTAGCATACAGACGTTTAAAGGTATTCTAGACTTCACATAGAGACATCAGCTGACAACATATCTGAACACTACACTCTGTTTCAGCGCATGCTTAGGAGTGTGCCTCCCAATGGAGGCCTGTGCGCGTAGTTAGGCTATCCGAGTCCCTCGGCTTTACGGTTTTCTGGGTACTGGGAATGTGCTAGAGAACAGAGCAAATATACAAACACAGGCAAGAGACTGGATCCTTGCAGCAGCCATTAATGCAGGGCAACTCAACACGAAGCCCGTGGGTAGGAGCCAAAACAAAAAGTCGTCAATAGAATGGTCTCCTGTTGAGATGCGTTTTAGTCGTTAAATTCCTCGACTGTCATTGCTCACTAAAAGTGCTATCATGGGGTGGCAATCAGGTATTTATTGCATTTTATTAATATCAGCAGAACTGACTTAAATGGGGCCTGTGTGTTGTGCCAGCTTGCCTTAATCTTTGTATTCATGCCCGTCAGTGTGAAAGAAGCTATTTGCATATATTTGCATGCATATGCAACCCCACTTAAGTTGTGGCCCTCAGCATGTGCGGTGAGTATCAATGTGGCTCCCAGGGCTTCCAAAGTGGAGTAGCCAGCCCTGTGTTATGCATCATTCCCCAAATCACCCATCAATGCTTGCATCATAATTTGTAGATTAATCCAAGCTACAGAGGACAGAGGAGACTTGTTTCCCTGGATTACTGAGGGCGAGTTTTCAGAGGCGGTCAGAACCCACAGCTCCCACTGACAGTCAGGCCCCCTCTAACTCCATGAGCCACGGGGCTCACGTTACCAACCGCTCTAGAAAGGCTGTGTGATGCTTCGACACGCTAGGCCTGTTCTCACAGGAAGCCGCCGTAAGCAGAGCACATGCCTTTGCCCCATGCTTTCCTTACAGCCCTGAAGCCTTTTACTTCCTTACCAGAAAACTTCGTTGCATCGATTGCACTGAACACGCCGAGCTCGGGGCTCCTGTACCTGGATGACCATGGGGCAGTCTGCACCGGGACACAGCTGCAGCTGGTAGTGGCTCTGCAAGGAGACCGAGTGGCAAGGTAAGCAATTGCTAGGGAGAACGCTGCTCTCCATGCTGCGAGTACAAGTGCCCTGCATGCACGTGACTGGGCAGATCTTGGATCTTCTGGAGAAGACAAGGGAAGCGCGACCAGAACACGCCCAAGAGCGGGCAATCAGTCTCTCCTCCATGCAGAGGAGGTTGCGATTGTGCCCACAGCAGACTTGGAGGCTTTGCATCGCGCATTTATTACAAGCTGAGGCTGTCGTGGTCAGTCATGAAACAAGGAAATTCGAGGTCCCATCCATAATGCCAGGAGACCGTCAGGAGAAACTCTAGACAGACCTGGACTCTCCCTCTACTTGAACTCCTTTCTCTCCACTTACGTTCCACCCTTTGCACACTCTGCTTCTCAACTGTGGCTAATCTGTCCCCTCCCTGTGGCGCCCCCGATACTGTATCTCGAGTATACATCACTCAGTTACTCCCTCTAAACATTGTGCTCTCTCGCAATTGGAAAAGACTCGCCAAGCTCTGCCGAGTGAAGGCATGCACAAGGGATACTGCAGAACAGTGGCCAGAGCTGCACTGGCATAAGGGAACGTCTGTACCTCCCCAACAATATTTCTTGGTGTTGCACCAGTATTTAATAGTCAACTTAAGCTCTCGGCTTTAAGAGCAGAGCACTCTGCTTCAAGAAATGGGCAAGCACCAGCTGGAGCAGGGCTGGGCAAAATACGGCCCGGGGGCCAGATCTGGCCTGCCACACCACTGGATCTGGTCCACGGACCACCCTGCCGGGGCCCCTCGGGAGTGCAGCTGCTGAGGTGTAAGTGCAGTCCCTATGTTTCCCTGCTCTGCAGGGAGGGGGGAAGCTTCGTGTGATCTCCCCACCCCCAAGCCCAATCCTCAGCTCCTGTTGGCCAGACACAACCGACCAATAAGAACTGACCTCGGCCAAACTATCAGCTCCTATTGGCTGGAAACAGCCAGCCAATTGGAGCAGAGAGATTGCCCTGGGAGATGGGGGCAGCACAAGCCTCTTCCCCCACCACCCCAGTGGAGAGCCATGAGGAGGGAGCAGCCTGTATTATCAAGTGGTTTGGGGCTGCAGCAGGCAGGGAGCCCAGCCTGCCATGGGGTGCGGCAGGGCTGCTGGCCGGGAGATGCTTAGGTAAGCACCTCCCAGCCAGGGCCGGTCTCTGGCACCCTAACTCCCTCCTCCAGGTCACCGTCCAAACCCTCTGCACCACCCCTGCCCCAGGTCACAACTCCCTCCCAGACCCTGTACCCCCACCTACAACCCTCCCCCAGGCCAGAATCCTCTCCTGCACCCCGACACCCTCCCAGACCCTGTACCCCCTCCTACAGCCCTCCCCCAGGCCAGAATCCTCTCCTGCACCCAGACACCCTCCCAGACCCTGTACCCCCTCCTACAGCCCTCCCCCAGGCCAGAATCCTCTCCTGCACCCAGACACCCTCCCAGACCCTGTACCCCCTCCTACAGCCCTCCCCCAGGCCAGAATCCTCTCCTGCACCCAGACACCCTCCCAGACCCTGTACCCCCTCCTACAGCCCTCCCCCAGGCCAGAATCCTCTCCTGCACCCAGACACCCTCCCAGACCCTGTACCCCCTCCTACAGCCCTCCCCCAGGCCAGAATCCTCTCCTGCACCCAGACACCCTCCCAGACCCTGTACCCCCTCCTACAGCCCTCCCCCAGGCCAGAATCCTCTCCTGCACCCAGACACCCTCCCAGACCCTGTACCCCCTCCTACAGCCCTCCCCCAGGCCAGAATCCTCTCCTGCACCCAGACACCCTCCCAGACCCTGTACCCCCTCCTACAGCCCTCCCCCAGGCCAGAATCCTCTCCTGCACCCAGACACCCTCCCAGACCCTGTACCCCCTCCTACAGCCCTCCCCCAGGCCAGAATCCTCTCCTGCACCCAGACACCCTCCCAGACCCTGTACCCCCTCCTACAGCCCTCCCCCAGGCCAGAATCCTCTCCTGCACCCAGACACCCTCCCAGACCCTGTACCCCCTCCTACAGCCCTCCCCCAGGCCAGAATCCTCTCCTGCACCCAGACACCCTCCCAGACCCTGTACCCCCTCCTACAGCCCTCCCCCAGGCCAGAATCCTCTCCTGCACCCAGACACCCTCCCAGACCCTGTACCCTCTCCTACAGCCCTCCCCCCGGCCAGAATCCTCTCCTGCACACAGAAACCCTCCCAGACCCTGTACCCTCTCCCCCAGGCCAGAATCCTCGCTTGCACCCAAACACCCTCCCAGACCCTGCATCCCAATCCACTGCCCAGGTCACAATCCCCTCCTCCACCCAAACACCCTCGCAGACCCCATTCCGTTACTCCATGTGCCCTTCTGCATCCAACCTCCAACCTAGACCCCCCACCCCCCCACAGAAAAGTGCAGCCCTTGACCACCTACCAAAATTTGGAGTGGCCCCCCACCAGAAATTATTGCCCACCCCTGAGCTGGAGTCACCAGGATGCCATCAGAGCAAGATTTATTCTGGCACGTCGTTTGAGAACTCGGATGGCGAGCCCTGCACTACAGCCGGGACCACGGACACGGCCGGCAGTGACGGCCGCTCTGGCCCTGAACTCTCTACACAGGCATCGTGAAGACGCCCAGATGCCAAGATCAATTTTGGCAAGTCACTCGGGACTTTGGGTGCCCAGGGTCCAGTTTTGCAGAAGGGGGGGGGGAACAAACCAGCCCTCTTCAGAGGTCTCCCACAGGGCACTAACACTGACGCTCCCTTTTGGAAATCTCGGCCCAAAGTTGGGACGACTGGGAAGGGTCAGGGCAAAGCGGTACACACCTCCACGTAGTCCCTGAAGAGGTAGCGCCGATATTTGTCCTTCAGCTCCTCACTAGGCAGCAGTGGAAACACAAAGTCTTCGGGGGTCCGCAGGGGACAGTCCTGAGCCATGCAGGAGACTCCTATTAAAACAGAGGGCAGTTGCCGCACAGTGCGATGAACGGGGGGACGAATGCAGATCAGAGATGTGCTGTTCCCAACACAGCTTCTCCGGTGCAATCGTGTGACAGGAGAGATACAACAGTTACAATCGCCAGCTACAGTCCAGCTGCTGTCGGTGGAAGATGACGCAGGCAGGTACATCTGGGGCAGTCCCAGCTTCACCATCCCTGTAGTGGGATGTCACGGCTGTGCACCTGAAGGCCCGGTGAGGAGTAATCGGCCACCTTGCAGTAGCACTGGCTACGGACGAGGGGCGTTTGAGTGTAACCGTTGTTAACCGCTGTGCCAAGAAGCGGAGGCTTATTGGTTAATGATGTCGGCTCTGCTCAGCAAAGCCACCTCCCCGGGAGCCGGGCGGCCGAAGGCTGCCGGCTCTGCCCCAGGGAGGAGGCTGGCTGTGGCAGGGACCCCGCCCCCCTGGCAGTGGGGCCCCCGCTCCGGCGGAGGCTTCGCTGCTGGCTCTGCAGTATTAAGCTGGATACTGCACAGCCCCCAGCATGTAACCGTGTCACCGCAGAGATTTTCCCTACTACTGACAGCGTCCACCAACACCGAAGGGGCCTGTGGAAATACACTCAAAGGCCCCTGTACTCTCAAAAGCCAACAGACATCCAGGACAATGTGCTCCTGAAGAGCTGCGACCTTTAAACACTGTAGCCTTGCTGCCTGAAGCCTCTCCCTGGTGATGTGATAATTGGCCTACAAGTTTCCCCTAACTGTGAGTGCAGCTGGAAGGAGTGAGTGCAAGTTCATGGCCCGTCACACTAGCCTACAACAATAAACGGTGGTGGAAAAAGGTGCAAGAAGTGGACAGGAAAAGTGAATACAAACAGAAAGGCCTCCTGGATTAATTCAAGCACTGTGTTAAAATCATGTCTAGAAAACAAGAACAGCGAGAGACTGGAAGTCAATGAACCAAAATTGGTGGAAAAACTTAACAACAAGTAGTCTTGCAGCACCTTATAAACTAACAAAACATGTAGCTGATATCATGAGCGTTCATGGGCGCAGCCCACTTCCTCAGATCACTGGGGTTATTAAAGGTCCAGTTCCAAAATAAATAAGAGATGGGGGCGGGGAGGGGGAAGAGAGAAGGAAAAAGGGGAAAAAAATGGTCAGAGTGTCCATGCGACATGAAGCTGACAAAGTGAAAACTGTTCCTAAGTCCCCACTGTTTGGTTTTTTTAAGGGACGGGGATTAGCGGGACTGGTGGACAACATGAGGGATAGGTTCTTCCACTCTTCTGTCCCTTCTGAAGGCCTTAGAAAGAGACCCTGGGGGAATGGAGCTGGCTACCACCATCCTGGCTGGCTGAAAGCCAGGAGAAAGGGAAGGAACAAGCTTCACTATCTTGGCTCCCACCTGCACCCTGAGCCTTCGTCCTGGCAAGGCCAGGCAGCATTCACCACCTTCACCTGCGCTAGCCAAATTCTTAACTCCCTGGGGATGTGAAACTGTGTTATGGTCCCCCCACCCCCCCACCTCCCACTGTAGGTTTTCCCTCCTCACTTCACTTCTTGTCCTTCCTATCCCTCCCATTTATCCTTCTATTTACGAGAGTCCGGCTTAGTTGGCCAACACTGTATATTTTGCAGTGTTGTCTTCAAATCCTCATTGTCAAGTCCAAGTCGAGTCTCAAGTCACTACAGTTCAAGTCTCAAGTCGAGTCTCGAGTCTTAATTTAAAAAATGTCAAGTCACTTTTGTAGAAGCCATCAATATCGGCATTTTCGGACAATTTTTTCACCAAGTCGATTTAACAAAATTAGCAAGTCTCAAGTTGAATCTCAAGTCACAAACAATGAACCCGAGTCGAGTCTCAAGTCGAGTCACCTAAGTGACTTAAGTCGGACTCGAGTTCAAGTCGTGGGACTCGACTCACCAACTCTGATATTTTGCAACTCTGCTGTAAGCCTCTGTCCAGAAAGAGACACCTAAATGCAATATCTTAAACAGCCTAATGCAGGTACAAGTTTGCCATGTCTCAGAGTGGCTGATAAGATGGCATGCTGGGCCTATGATTTTCCAGCAATGAAACTAAAAATCCATATCAGAGAGAGAAGCTGAATATTCTACCTTTCCTGTTCTTTTCTCTTCCCCTTTCATGTGTGTTCATCTTGTTTCATCTTCTAGAAAACGGGATTGGACTTTTACAACTACTCCAACCCATCTTAAGTAATTTTTTTTCTTTTGCCCAAAAAGGAAAGTTATTACCATCCAAGAGACATTCAAATGCCCAACAAAGGGAAAGGGTACAAAAAATGTAAAATATATTAAGTAAGGCTTTCATCTTAACATTTCAAATGCTTTAACTGTTTCCCCTTCCTACCCATATTTTTAATAAAGGATTAAAGATTTTTAATGACGTTTGCCCCAAATTGTTTAAAACTGTTTAAAATTGGACATTTACAGAGTCATGGTAACACCTTACCTCTTTGGACCCATACAGCCCCTTTAAATTAATAAAACAGTGACTGGTGATCACAGCCTGGCAGGGTCATAAAGACAAGAGTAAGAGAACATTGACCAAAATCTTTGTCCAATTTTAACAGGACTGTCCAAAGTACTGGTAAAAAGGACTTGCATATAAATGACAAACACACCATTACAGAAGTACTTGTATGTACAAGTATGCTGCAGAAATAAATACATAAGTAAAAGAACAAGAATTTTCAACACCCATTTTCCCTGCAGTTGTGAAGTCAGTTTCCAGATAGCTACTTAAACAACAAGCACAGAGCGGGGGAGGAAAAGACCCCAGCGACAATGAAGTTTTAGTCGTATACATAAATAGCCTTGGCATTACCAGAAGAACAACTGCTCCGTTTCCCAACAACCCTGTAGCATGCCAGGGGCAGGTAGGCATTTCCTACACCACCGTGAGGGGATGCAGCACATGGCTACGTACGCCTTGCCTTTCCCTGCTGCCAGCTGCAAGGAGCAATCAGAAGTGAAGGTGCACCAGCCAGACCAAAAGGCCAAAGCTTGGGCAGTCAGAACGCAGAGCCTGAAGCTCCCAAACCAGGGCAATGGGTCCCAGGCCAGTGAGGACGCAGGCGAGATGTGACTTTTTAAAAAACAAACACACTGTTCAGACGTACTTGCAGATTAGGAAAAAGTTACCTATGTTCCAAGTATCATTACAACGTACTCAAATGCGAGTGCTACGTACAGACGGAAGTACTTCGATGTATACAGAATACTTCCATAGGTACTCAAGTATATGGGACTGGCGATTTACAGTTACTTGGAGGCAGTGCTAGGGTCCACGCTGAAATTAGAGAGATCCTGGCGGTTATGAATTCAGTCCAAACCAGCAGCCAGTTGAAAATATTTAAGGCACTGATTTTACAGGCAAACCAATTGCATGCTTCATTTTCTCAGTATTAAGATATTAAAATGACTGGTCCAGCTGCCTTAGGGAGTGGAGGCAGGGGGAGGACAATGCATCAAATAAAAACCCACCAAAACGTTTGCCTTGAACTCACCGACTCCGACGCCATCCTTGACGAGTACTGTACAATGCTGCTCCCAGCAGCTCCGGCAAAACTGGTGCTGACAAGCCAGCGAGAGCAAATTCTCCTTTCGGACAAACTGCATACACACTGCGCAGTGATGGGAGGAATGTACCATTGTCTGAAAGAGAGGTGCAAACCAAAAGTGGGCTGAAACGGTTCCAGGCACCACTTAGCTCTTCTAACCCTGGAAGCCCAACATGGCCCTCCCCAGCGCTCATGTGGCACTGCTGAGGAAGGAGCCCAGAGTTGTCTTAACTTTAACGTGGGCCAGACTTACTTTCATCTAATTCCAACGGCCCCTGGTTTTAGCCCAAAGGAGGGCGAAGGAGCACAGCTAGAAAAGGCTTCACCTTGAATTCTTGTTAGGAGCCTCTGAGCTGCCAACGGACAATAGACAAGTCTCTTACTTGCTGCCCTGGAGCTGGTGTGTTACCCAGAAGGAGATTTGGTTTTCTAGCCTCTCTGCTTCTCCTGCTACCAAATGAAGATTAACCATCCCTTTGAAATACTCCTTTGCCGCCTGTCCCCCGTCAGTTACTCCTCCCTTGGGAGCAGAGGTTAGTTCAGGGGCTTGTTTGTTCGCTGTCTGGCTCGATCCCAGAGAGCAATCATTCTGTGTGTTCAGCTAGACAGCAATTTCAGCTGGAGTCCTAGAACACTAGACCTGGAAGGCAGCTTGAGAGACTGAGCCCAGTCCCCTGCCCTCACAGCAGGACCAAGCACCACCTGGATCAGGGCTACTCAACTTTGGAAGCCCCGGGGGCAACAATGATACTCACATCACGTGCCGAGGGCTGCGACTTAAGTGTGGTTTCATGTACACACAAATATATGCAAATAGCTTCTTTCACACTGATGGGCATGAATACAAAGATTAAGGCAAGACTACACAACACGCAGGCCCCATTGAAGTCAGTTTTGCTGATATTAATACAATGCAATAGTTACCTGATTTCCACCCCATGACAGCACTTGTAATGAGCAGGGACCGTCCAGGAATGTAACTACTAAAACACATAGCAACAGAAGACCATTCTATTGACTCGCCGTTGTGGAGCGTTTTCCCAGTGGAGGCAATGTTCAAAGGATCCCACCGGCAGGCCGCATGTTGAACCCCGTGTAAACCCAAACTGCACCGCAAACAGGCCACGAGTTGAGTAGCCCTGATCTAGATCATCCCTGACAGGTGTCTGTCTAACCTGTTCTTAAATATCTAGTGATGGAGATTCCAGAACCTCCCTCGGCAATTTATTCCAGTGTTTAACCACCCTGACAGGTAGGAAGTTTTTCCTAATGTCCAACCTAAACCCGCCTTGCTGCAATTTAAGCCCATTGCTTCTTGTCCTATCCTTAGAGGCCAAGGGGAACAATTTTTCTCCCTCCTTGTAGCACCCGTTTAGGTACCTGAAAACCGCTATCTTGTCCCCTCTCAGTCTTCTCCTTTCCAAACTCAACAAGCCCAATTCTTTCAGTCTTCCCTCACAGCACGTGTCCCCTAGACTGTTAATCATTCTTGTTGCTCTTCTTTGGACCTTCTTCAATTTCTCCATGTCAGCCTTGAAATGCGGTGCTCAGAACTGGACACAAAACTCCAACTGAGGCCTAACCAGCGCAGAGTAGAGTGGAAGAATGACTTCTCGTGTCTTGCTCACAACACACCTGTTAATGCAGCCCAGAATCATGTTTGCTTTTTTTTCCAAACATCACACTGTTGACTCATATTCAGCTTGTGGTCCACTCTGAACCCTAGATCCCTTTCTGCCGTACTCCTTCCTAGACAGTTGCTTCCCATTCTGTATGTGTGACACGGATTGTTCCTTCATGACAAATGATGCAAGCAAAGATGGCACCTTTATGCACATCAGAGCTTGTGGGGCGAGAAAGCAGATCCCAGTTCACCATGAAGTTCAAGGAACCTCTCCTAGCTCTTCACCTGTGCCACATATTGCACAGCAGACACCATCCCTGCTGTGGAGAATGGGGCAGAATTCATTGCTAGGGCATTCTTGTGCCCAAACCCTGCTGCTCCGGGAAGGAAGTCAGTAGGAAACAATCTAGCTTTCCTGTGTGATTATGCAGGATGAAGCACCCAGCAAGAGACAGAGCAGTCAGCTACTCCTGTGCCGTTTCATTTCACCCTTACAAGTGAAAGGGGAAGCAGGCTATCAGAGCACCTCCAAAGCTGTATTCTGCCTCCAGAGCTGGAAGCAGAGTTTATCCACCCATGTATGTGTAGCAGACTGAAGCCATAATGCAAATCCCTTAGGGCTCTGGTACCTTCAAGAGAAGCCAGCATGGGATAACACCTCCCAGGCCTGACAATGCATTCAGAACTCCGCCTCTGCTGAACGAGCGTCCACATGACCAGCATAACCAGGCTGCAGCATCCTCGTCTGCGACAGGTAGGAGCATCTTTGCTCCCGGAGAACTCTATCGTGACTGAGAACAGTTCTCCAGCAGCATTCGGGATCACTTACTGCTCCGAGCCAGCTAACGTTTATTTGGGCAGTTTCCCTGGGTCTAGCTGATTGTGTCCCTACAAGAGTCTCTATTCTCTTCGACTCGCTGCAGAAGGACCCCCTGTTCCTTGGCAAGCAGAAAGGGTTTCCACCAGTCCCACTTCATACTTGGCAGTTTCACTCCAAGAAAAGCAATTCTGACGATCTGTTGGGTCAGGTTCTCAGACTCCCCCCTCAAATCCTCTAGCTGGTGCCCCTCCGTAGGGCATTCTAGAATACATGCTCTTCACCCCTTCTCTCATCCACACAGCATAGGCAGAGTCAGAGCAACACTGAAAACACTTTCCCCTCTAACCTCATGCTGGAGGAGCTCTTGTGGGCAGGTGAGTATTCCTAGGAGGCAGCATAAGCAGCATGTTCATTTAGGCTTTTGTACACAATTCCCACAAGACAGGGCCCACGTATTCTCCTGATCCAGTGCCTTAGCTGCCTTGGCCTGCACCCCAGAGGCAAAGAAGAGCACTGCAGAGGAGGACTCTTAGGTAGCAGCAGACACAAGAAAACTAGACCAAATTTGTAAATGCTCACAGGGCCCATTTTACAACATGTGGACTCAAAGGTAGTCTGGAACCCAAATATGCTAGAGAGTTTAAGGTCATGACGCATTCCCCTTTTAGCTTTGTCATTTTGCTTGTCAACACTGCTAGCGACAAGCGGATTCAGATGCAAGAGCAACCACCCATTGTAAAAAAACCAGTCTCCTCTAGCTCCAATAGCCTGTGATGCAGATTCCGACAAGTCACAATCCATTCCCAGAGTAACTGTCTGTGACGTGACACACCGGATGGCAACACCCACGGTCAAATGAACCCTGTAAACATGCACTAGGAAGCTTCTAAGCGGGAGGCAAGTTTCCACAGACCCTGGCCACCACAGCTGCAAAACTCAAACCGGGGCTTCCAAAGTCATTATGAAATAGCGTGGGAAGAAGCATCCTTTGGAGTTGGCCTCCACGCCCTGAAGCAGAGCAAGGCAGTCACTGCAAGGCAACGCCCACTTTCAGTAACAAATAACACTTATTATCCTATCAACCCACAGTTCTCCTGCAGCCTCTTTTAGGAACACAGCAAGATCACAGAGCCCTTGGGCCATGTCGTCTGCCCCCGTGGATTCTGCGAGCTTCTCACTCCCTTTGTATCTGACCTGCTCTTGAAAAGCTACTGTGATTTACTCATCTGTAGGGGTTGTTCCAGTCCATGAACACAGGAAGGCTTATGTCTAAGTGCCAGAGACATCCTGGCTGCGTCTCACTGTAAAATGGGTTGGGCTCAGGTTTAAGACACTACAGCTGCAAAAGCGTTTCTGAGAGGCAGGCCAACCAGTGGGAGAAGTGACCCTAGAATGGGGCGGCACAGAATGAGGGAGTCGGATGCAGAAAGATGAGGGCCTGTAGCACAGGCCTGGTTTGAGGCCTGAGGCCTAGCTAACTATATTACCAAAGTCCTGACCATTCAGCAAAGCTAAGCTGTGAGCAAGAGGCAGGCCCCTGTTTATGGAACTTGGCAGCATGAACAGGGCTGAATGTAAAACACCAGCTGGAACTAGATACTGCTGCAGAACAGTAACTGGTACCGGGTCTAAGCTGAAAGCACATTCTAGAAGGGTGCTAACACCACCCCGTTAAAAAGGACCTTGGTACCCACACACTCCCCACAGATACAGACCCAGGCTCAGGAAAGGGTCAAAAGTGACAGCATGAGGGACAGAGATGTTCTAACTGAACGAGCAGGAGTGCAGTGATGGGTGGTATCTAGGACTATCAGAGGGTGGCAACCTGACACTTCAGGAGTGATATGTAACTTGTTTGCAGAGTATAGAAAGTGGTGTCTCGGAGGGGCTGTCTTTGTCCGGCCTAGGTGGCAGTCTCTCATTCCATGTCAATGACTCAGCTGGTCCATTGTTGGGCCAGGGGTACATATGTAAGAACAGAATAGCAGCCAGACTGGGTCAGACCAAAGGCCCATCTCGCCCAGTGTCCTGTCTGCCGACAGTGGCCAATGCCACGTGCCCCAAAGGGTAAACATCACATGATCCCTCCCGTCACCCACTTCCAGACAAACAGAGGCTAGGGACACCATTCCTACCCATCCTGGCTAATAGACTGATGGAGGTTAGGTCCGTCAATGGCTATCTAGCTCTTGTTTGAACCCTGTTAAAGTCCTAGCCTTCATCACATCCTCCGGCAAGGAGTTCCACAAGTTGACTGTGTACTGTGTGAAGAAAAACTTCCTTGTTTGTTTTATACCTGCTGCTTATTTGTTTCATTTGGTGAACCCTAGTTCTTCTATTGTGGGAATGAGTATATAACTTTTCCTTATTCACTTTTTCCACACCAGCCATGATTTTATAGAGCTCTATCATACCCCCCCTTAGGGTACATCTACACGGCACAGCTATTTTGGGATACCACAGGCACCCTGAATTAACTACCCCGTGTCTACACAAACCGCCTGTTATTTCAAAATATTTTTTAAACAGGCGCGCTATTTTGCCATCGTGGTAAACCTCATTGCAGGAGGGATAAGGGCTGGCTTGAAATAGCGCATTATTTCAAAATTTAGCACTGCGTAGATGCACCAAATTTCAAAATAAGCTGTTTCAAAATAGTTTCTAAATAAGATACACAGATTGTGTAGCGTAAATTGCGTATTTTATTTTGAGTTTAGGGTCCTGTGTAGACGCACCCGTAGTCTCCTCTTTTCTAAGCTGAAAAGTCCAAGCTTTTTTAATCTCTCTTCATATGGGACCCATTCCAACCCCTCATCACTTTGTTGCCCTTTTCTGAACCTTTCCCAAGGACAAGATATGTTTTTTGAGATGAGGAGACCACATCTGTACACAGTGTTCAAGATGTGGGCGTTCCATGAATTTATAGAGGCAATAAGATATTTTCTGTCTTATTTTCTATCCCTTTTTAAATGATTCCTAACATTCCATTTGCTTTTTTCACTACCACTGCACACTGAATGGATGTTTTCAGAGAATAATAGTAATAATAATAAATAATAATAATAATAAAAAATGGAGATGCCTATCTCCTAGAACTGGAAGGGACCTTGAAAGGTCATCAAGTCCAGCCCCTGCCTTCACAGCAGGACCAAGTACCCTCCCTGACAAAAAACTTTTGCCCCAGATCCCTAAATGGCCCCTTCAAGGATTGAACTCACAACCCTGGGTTTAGCAGGCCAATGCTCAACCCACTGAGCTATCCCTCCTCCGAGAACTAGCCATGACTCCAAGATCTCTCTTGAGTAGTTGTAGCTAAATCAGTCCCCATCATTTTGTATGAATAGTTGGGATTATTTTTTCTCCAAAGCGCATTACTTTGCATTTATCAACATTAAATTTAATTTGCCATTTTGTTGCCCAATCATTTAGTTTGGTCTTCACAGTCTGCTTTGGTCTTAACTCTCTGGAGCAGTTTGGTATCACCTGCAAATTTTGCCACCTCACTGCTTACCCCTTTCTCTAGATCATTTATAAATAAATTGAATAGGATGGGTCTCAGGACAGACCCTTGGGGGACCCCATTAGTTACCTCTCTCCACTCGAAAAACTTTTCATTTATTCCTGCCTTTTGTTTCCTGTCTTTTAACCAGTTATCCATCCATGAAAGGACCTTCCCTCTTATCCCATGATAACTTACTTGACTTAAGAGACCTTGGTGAGGGACCTTGTCCAAGGCTTTCTGGAAATCTCAGTACGCTATAACCACTGGATCCCCCGTGTCCACGTTTGTTGACCCCCTCAAAGAACTCTCACAGATTAGTAAGGCATGATTTCCCTTTACAGAAACTATGTTGACTTTCCCCCAACAAATTATGTTCACCCACATGTCTGACAATTTTATCCTTCATTATAGTTTCAACTGATTTGCCCGGTACTGACGTTAGACTTACCAGTCTGTAATTGCCAGGATCACCTCTAGAGCCCTTTTTAAATATTGGTGTCATGTTAGCTATCTTCCAGTCATTAGCTACGGAAGCTGATTTAAAGGATAGGTTACAAACCACAATTAATAGTTCCGCAATTTCACACGGGAGTTTTCAGAATTCGTGGGTGAATGACATCTGGGCCTGGTGACCTGTTACTGTTACGTTTATCAATTTGTTCCAAAACCTCCTTGAATGATACCTCAGCATACAGCAATTCCTCAGATGTGTCATCTGAAAAGAATGGCTCAGGTTTGGGAATCTCCCCAATATCCTCAGCCGTGAAGACTGAAGTAAAGAATTAATTCAGCTTCTCCGCAATGACTATCATCTTTTGAGCGCTCTTTTAGCATCTCGATGGTCCAAGGGCCCCACTGGTTGTTTAGCAGGCTTCCTGCTTCTGATGGACTTAAATAACATTTTACTGTTACTTTTTGAGTTTTTGGCTGGCTGTTCTTCAAACTCCTTGGCTTTTCTTATTATATTTTTACACTTAATTTGACAGAGTTTATGCTCCTTTCTATTTTAGGATTTGACTTCCACTTTTTCAAATATGTTTTTTTCTCTCTCACTGCTTCTTTTACCTGGTTGTTAAGCCAAGCCATGGTGGCACTTTTTTGGTTCTCTTACTATGTTTTTTTAATTGGGGTATACATTTAAATTGGGCCTCTATTATGGTGTCTTTGAAAAGTTTCCATGAATCTTGCTGGGATTTTACTTTTGTCCCTGTACCTTTTAATTGCTGTTTAACTAACCTCATTTTCATGTAGTTAAAATTAAATGTGTAGAGGTTCAGTAGACTCTACTGACATCTATTACAGTACTTCATTTGACAATAAACCTGGCCAGGCACCCTTTGATCCTTATCTGATTTTGTGGTTCTGGGGGGGGGGGGCTCTCTCGGAGTCTGCTGTGTTGACTACTTGCACAAAGTGAACACAACACACAGGAGGAGCACACATCGCACAGCTGAACGGACGCCACCATTGGTGGAGCAGGAGACCTGTCAGGACACCACAACGGTGAATCCTGACTGCTACCCCAGATACCTACATGTTTGGATGAGGTGAGCTGAACTCCTGCTTCCACTAGCAACTGGGCAGAATTGGACTTGTGCCTGGAAAAGTTAAAGAAAGAATTAAACTCTTGCACCAAAATGCTTTTTGATTTTACAAGAACCATTTTGCCACCAACGAAGAGTAGCTTCTGGAATGGAGTCACACGGGATACCTGAACAAGGAGAGTCTAAGCCATTCTTCAGGGAGGCCCTTGATGCAACAAAATGGATCGTGCTAATAAAACCCTCTTTTTGTGGAAGTAACTAGCACTGCTGATAAAATAGGAACTATGCATAACAGGGTGGACAAAAATAGTTTTAATAAAAACTGGGTTTATCTGTCAGTTTTTAAAATGTACATTAAATAGTATTCTTTAAAATTAAATTAGGTAAAGGCCCATGTAATTCCTATTACACAGAAAATAATTCAAATTTTTTAAATATTAATCAGTATATGCTTGTTGCAGAAATGGTAAAGGAAATCAAACTATTACATTTGTAGAGCCACTGGCTAAGCATCTTGGAACCACATTTTCAGCACTCAATCAGCTTTTGACAGCAGTGCCTCCTGTTGGTGTAGAGAAAATATTTTCTTCATCTCCATTTATCCAACAGAGCTCAGTTAGTGACGTTGATTCAAAGTTAAGAAACTAAATTGCCACTTGAAAAGAAGGAAAAGTTTGCTTTCCCGTTCAAATCTGACTAAAAAGCTAGATACAAGACGGTGAGGTTTACTAACTGTAAAACCCTGAAGGAAATGGTGGCCAGAAACAATCAGTTCAATTAACTCATTCGAAATATTACTTCCTTTGTTAAATAAATCGGTTGTAAATGCAAAGCCTTGTTTTGAACAACTTTTTTCTTATGAATCCAGCATAATTTTAGGTAATTTTATTTAACTCATTTTGAATTTCCGTCCAAACAGAGCTTGACACAAATCAAAAGTAAAAGATTAGCTTATATGAGAAATGCATTATTCACATAATAAATATGCAAAATTAAGGATCTGACTAAGGAAGAAGCTGTAAAATTGCTTTAATAAATCTCAGATTCATAGATTCAAAGACCAAAAGGGGCAAAGGTGGGTATCTCGTGTGACGTCCTGTATTACATAGCTCATAGAACTTCCCAAAACTAATTCTTAGAGCAGATCTTTGAGAAAAATATCCAATTTTAAAGTTACCAATGTATTCTCTTGGTTAGCAAAAAGCAGCACAAATTAGCACGGAAGTTGTATTTAGTTGAAAATCATCACATTTTAATTGTTACCAACAAGTAAGAATCAACTGTATAGGAAAATATCAAATGCACACATGCAAAATTAGATTAAAAATCGATTATTTAAATGAAGGTTTCTTGATTGGCTTAAATCAGTCCAACCTGATGTTTAATCCAAATTTGAACTAGATTTCTCTTATATTCTTAGACAAGATAGACCAGAGGTCAGCAACCTTTTCAAACCAAAGAGCCAAACTACATCAAAATTCAGAACAAGTGGTCAACAAAGAGCCATGTAAGAATGCCCATTTGCATGAATATTATTGATAACTGACATAATCAGGGCTCGACAAACCGCTGTTTCTACTCCAGCCGGTCGCTCCGTGCACCCCATTCACCGGCGCTGCACACGTGCGCAGTGCTGGTCTGGTGCATGCACAGTGTGGGACTGGCGAGTAGCTCTCGCCGCAGTTTGTCAAGCCCTGGACATGATGATTAATAATAGCATAAATGAAACATTGTACTCACAGACTTTATTTATGGCACTTCTGCTGCTGCATCTTTTTGCACATTTCTTTGAAGTTTACATCATAACACGGGTCAAATCCAGTTTCATGCTGTCTTCTGTCAATCTTATGGCAGGGGGTTTGGGATGTGGGGGTACACGATGGGCTCAGGGCAGGGGGTCTGGGTGTGTGATGGACACAGGGCACAAGGCTGGGGTATGCAGGCGTGCAGGAGTCTAGGGATATGAAGGCCTCAGGGCAGGGGGTTCGGGTATATGATGGGCTCAGGGTTGGGGTGTGCAGGAGTGTTATGATGCTGCAGCCGGGGGGGCTTGTCGGCCAGGCTTCATTTTTAAATGAAGTAAAATATTCTGTCCAACACAAAGGTTTCAACATTGTCTTTATTTATGGTGGGGGTGGGGAACCTTTTTTAGGTTGGGGGCCACTGACCCATAAAAAAAAAAATCAGTTGGGGACCAGCACACTAGTGAGAAGCAAAAGAGAAAAACCCTCCAAACCCTGCCCCACCCTCACTGATGTGGCCCCCCAACTGAAACACCTCACTCTCCTGCTGCTCCAGCCCCATGGGGAGGGGAGGGGCAGGGAGGACTGAGTTCAAAGACTCAGGACAGATTTACTCTTTTGGGATTCCAGATTAGTGGATTTTTTAGGTCCCTCCTAGGCTCTGGGATGGGGCCAAAAATGAGGGGATGAGTGTGTGGGACAGGGCTGCCAGTGAAGGGGATGGGGTGCAGGAGGGGGTGAAGATGCAGGAGCAGGCTGGGGGCAGGGTGTCTGGCCAGGGAGGAGAGGACAAGAGTGGGGTCTCAGCAGAAGGAGAAAACGTGAGGGGGTGGGAGTGTGGGGTCTGGACACGAGGGGTTGGGGGGGGCACTTGCTTGCTTTTGCGCCATGTCACAGGAACCACATAACACGGCCTCCCACTGCTCCCATTCGCAGGATTCTGGCCAATGGGAGCAAAGGGGAAGCCTCCAGGAAGGGCGTCCCTGCGAGGCTGGTCCCCCCAGCAGAAGGAAGGAAAATGCTGGATCCAGCTGGGAGGCTCGGGCTTTCTTCCCCTGCCCACCGCTGCACCCCTGCAGGAAGCCAGAGCTGGCATTCCAATCTTGTGGGGGGCCATAAGGCTGTAGTGCCAGCACTGGCTCCTGGCTGCGGAGGAAGCTGGCTCCCTAGTGATCCATATTTGGCTTAAGGGCCATAGGTTGCCGATCCCTTGAATAGACCAACAAGATTTTCTTAATCTAAATCCCTTTTCAACAAGGGCTGTTGGCATTTTGCACTCCAGTTTGATCTCATTTTGATTCCAATACATTATCTAGCTAAGTATTTATGCAATCATATCAGAAAGGACCCCCCCCACCGTTCACCAAATAAGAAATAAGCAGCATCAGAAGTAGCCATGTTTTGCTCTTTGGCGTTTCCAACATGTCGGAAGGTTTTCACCATGGATATGAACGACACTGAATTAAATCCAAGTCATTTCTATTCATGCTGGCATAGGCAGCCCCCCTTTCTTGTCCACAACTGCAGTGATTTTAATTAGGGGCTTCCACTGAATTTATATCCAGCGCGACCAAGGGAAGAAAAGGGAAGTTGGGCGTTCGATCGAGGAGCAGAGCCACCGAGAAACAATCGAATGCTGCCATGTTCAAAATAAAGCCCCTCCCCAGTTTGCTCCTGTTCCAGATCTGACCCCACACTGCGAGAGCACTGGCTCCCATGCAGAAGTCCCACTGTCCGGAACTTGGGAACAGGCTGGGGAGCAGCTACGTCCCTGGGAAGCCTGCCCACTCACGCAGCGTGCCCCACACAGAGACCTGAGCCAGGGCCCTCAGGAAACGGAACTGCCCCACTCTCGGGAAGGGGGCATTGCTAACAGGGACCCGTGGGGCACATTCACGGTCACTGTTTCTGGGCCAGCCGTCAGTGCTGAAGGAGAGGAGGAGAGGTGCTGGACATGTGCTTCTGGACAGAATTCACTCTGCCTTTGCAGCTTGTCGATGTGGTGTAAGAACTGGTCGGTGCTGTGCTGGTCAACGTTGCGAAGACCAGGACTTTAGCAGGGCGCATAGAAGAGCTAGACAGACTCACAGGTCCTTCAATGGCTGTTAGCCAGGCTGGGTAGGAATGGTGTCCCTGGCCTTAGTTTGTCTGGAGGTGGGCAACAGCGGAGGGGTCACGGGAGGATTCCCTGTTCTGATCCCTCCCTCTGGGGCACCGGGCATTGGCCACTGAGGGCAGACAGGACCCAGCCTGGCCGTTCTTATGTGCTACTTGAGCATGAGCCGGCATCCCACTTATCACTTCCCCGGCTCTATACCCTCTCAGTGCTCCTCAGACGCCCGGCCAAGTGAAAAATCACCAACGGTGTCCAGAAGGACAAAAGCTTTCACCCGAGAGCGTGCCTGCCTTGGGAGCCAGCGCCAGGCCAGGGCCAGATTCTTCTCGGGGAAACCCTCATTAGAAAGAGAGTTAAGGACACGGGAGACTTTAAAGGACATTTTCCCTTTCTTAGAAGCAACTGCTGCTGCAGCTCTCGATAGCCAGGTTCAGATTTACAGCAAAATGCATTTGCGGGGCTTCAATCCCTTCAAGAGACCGGGGCCCTCCAGGGCAAACACACATCTCCCGCTGGTCAGCTAGGGGAATTAACTTGATCCTCTCCACTCCAGGGTACAGTAGGCCGGCTCTCTGAGGGCCAACCCTTCTCTGGCGCAGTATCAGTGGGAAGCAGCCTGGCACGTTCATACGAGGGGTGTTAAATAGTCGAGTAACCTCACGAATTCTTAGCGCTTTCTCGACTATTCTATAGCCCCTGCGGGCGGGGCCGGCAGCCGGTGCGCTCCAGCTCACTCCTGAGGAGCCTCCTGCCACTCCATGCAGGGTGCCAGGCAGGAGCTGGCCCGTGAGGGGAGCCAGTTTAAAAACCAGCTCCCCTCATGGACCAGCCGCCTGTCGCCCCGTGCTGCGACCTCTCATACAGAGGCTGCAGCCCCTGTCTAGGAGGGGTCTGAGCTCCCGGACCCGGTGTGAGCCTGAACTGAGCCGGGCTGCCTGCCCACTTGGCTCCTAATACACTTTAAATGCACAGCCACAGCGGGGGCAGGTCCTGGACCTGTTTCAAACCAGGACTAAGCCAGGCGGCTGGCCAGACTGTGGAAAAAATGTACTGGCAAGTGGGGGGAGGGGGAATGTGTGAAGTCTATAGCGTTAGCCTATAAGCTTTTGCTCCTCAGTTCTTCGACTAGACTATCACACCCCTAGTTTATGCATGCAGAGTAGTGAGTGAAAGCAGACTAGATACAAGTTAGTGACACTTACCTTTCCAAAATCTCCGAGACTTGCCAGTGGAAATTAACTAATAGAAGCTTAGCAACTGCGGGAGACACCTAGAAAAGGAAAGAAAAGAAGACTCAGGAGGCATTATTCCCAGAGACCCCTCGTACACACAGAGGTTTGCCCGTCGCCATGTACTGCAGGGAAAGTTCCCCTTGTCAGCGGCCTGAGCTGGGAACAATCCGTAAGAAAAAAGTTTCCCAAACTATTACATGCAGTTCATGTTTTCACTCCGTGTCAAGGCCAAAAGAAATCTGCAGTAAAACATGCCGACCCTGCCAGTATTTCCCTCAGAACTTGCAGGCCATTAATTTTCCATGTGAAGCTTTAAAGAAGGGTCCCCCTTTAACCATGCCCCTCAATACAAGATAAGCAACATCACGAGTGAGGAACAAGCTACACACACAGCTGTACCCAGGGAACCCCTCTCTTCCAACTGATGCAACTTCATGGAGCCAAGTGTGAGAAACTCAAAACCTGACTGTTCCTTCCGCTGCAGAGGCCTAGAAGGGGTGGGACTCGAGAGGGAGGAGGTGGGGGCCAGAGCACAATTAAGGTTAAGACTGTGTCATGGCTATTTTTAGTAAAAACCACAGACCGATCACGGGCAATAAACAAAAATTCATGGAAGCCGTGACCTGTCTGTGTCTTACTAAAAATAGGGAGCGTGGGGGAGGGGAAGCAGGGGAGGGAATGACAGCTGGAGCCCCATGGGTAGGGACTGACAGCCTGAGCCCCACCCCACCCCCAGGGCAGGAGCACACAGTTGCTGCTTGGGCTCCAGCCATGTGCCCTGACAGCTGAAACCAAACAGTCCAGTCAAGTCCCGGAACCCATGACCTCCGGGACTGAAGCGAATCCTTCTTCACACTAGTGCACACTAAGCCCCAGGACTGGTGCATGAGCAGCCAGACACCGCTCAGTGAAGTGGCGAGCTGCACATGGGGGCAGAGGCTGTGGTAAGAAGGAAAAGGAAACAGTTAGTCCTCCTAGCACAGAACCAGTGTTCCCTCATTTCCCCACTCAAGCAGAATGAATTTTCTCACTTGTACCCATGTGGATGTGATGCACACCACATCACCTTCACACTGGTGCACAGAAACTTCACGCCGTTGAGTGTGCGAGGGGCTGCAGGGCTGGGCACAGGGTTGACGTGCAAGAATGTGAGGTGCAGGCTGGGGTCACTGGCTCTAGGGTGGGGCTGAGTTTGAGGGGCTCAGGGATGGGACAGAGTCAAGGTGCAAGGCTTCTGGCTGGGGGTGCAGGCTTTGGGGATGAGGGGCTTGGGGTACAGGAATCATAGAACTGGCAGGGACTGTGAGAGTCATCCAGTCCAGTCCCTGCCCTCACGGCAGGACCAAGCACGGTCTAGATCATCCCTGACAGGTGTCTGTCCAACCTGCTCTTACATATCAGAGAACCCCTGACACAGAAGGGGCCACCTGACTTGGAAAGGAAGGAGGCGGCATTCCAGGAGGTTTCTACAGGGTAGGCTACCCCGTACACTGCGCAGAGAACACAGACATCCACGACCGGACGCTGACTGGACAAGCGTGAGACCTGTCAAAAGAAAGCTGTGACTACAGCAGTCACTCCACAACTGAACCGAATTCTCATTAAGAAATAACAGGGTCTGCTGTAAGCGAGAGGACGAGGGCTGCGAAAGATTAGCTGGTAAGCATCGCCCTAAAGGGGTGCTGCTTCCCGGTTCTAGTTTACGGTCACCTGTGGGGCCTGGAGCAGCTCCCTGCCTGCTGCAGTCACGGGGCTGCCCCAGCTCCTCTGGGGACCAGTGCACAGGGCCTGCTTTCCTTTGGAGCCTGGTGCTCTGCAGGTAGTCTCAGCCCCAGGGCAGGAGCTGGGAGCCCTGCAGGCCGGGGTCTGTCCCAGCCGGGCCGGAGCAGTGCCAAGTCCAGATCCCACTTCCGTCCGTTAACCAGTTCAATGTTCTGTCAGCCTTCCTCAGCCCCCGCCCTGGCCACGCCGGCTGCAGTTGCCATGGTTGGGGAGAGGCGCCTCTCATCTGGCTCCCAACTGCTGCAGTGAGAGGGCTGGGGGTAGTCTGCTCTCCCCAGGGCAGCCTACGGCCCAAACCCTTCATCCTCAGTCCACCCTCAGAGCCCACACTTCCAGCCACAGCCGTCACCTCATACCCCAACCCTCTACCCTTCCTAGCGCCTGTGCCTTCAGTGGGAGCCCTCGCTATCCTGCACCCCAGCCCTCTGCCCCAGCCCTGACGCCCCTCCCACACACCGTCCACGTGCAGCAGGCCTTCTGTTACAGGACACGTCCCCGCCACACTGGGGCACAGAACCAAAGTCACTGTGCGCATGAGGGAACACTGCTTCCTGATGGACACGCCTCACTCTACACGTACCCACCTGCTTGGGATTTTGGGGACCCCAGAATTCTATGGAAAGCAATGGCCTGGCGCAGGATTCTCCCAACCTCGTTCCCAACACACACAGCTGTATTTTGAACCTAATTTAATTGCATGGTATGATCAGGAGATAAAGGCAGCTGGCTACCCAGCAGCACAGAGCTGAAAACGGGAATTTGAGTGGGAGTTTGGAAGAGCAGCTTAGGGGAGAGTGTGGGTGATTTGTTCCCTCCTCCTGCCATCCTTGCCAGGAGTTTAGAGGGAATGCTACAACAGCTGCAGAAGCAGCAGCGGGAGTGACCTGAAGAAGACAGGCAAGGTGGATGACTGGATGTGGCAGATGTAGGATGTACGTTATTTTGGACAGTGTACGTAAACGTGCTTAGTTTGTGAGAGATCTGATGGAAGAGAAGATCCAAGGTTTGGAGATGCAGCAAAAATGATGGCTGAGTTTCAGGGTGGATACAAATTCTATAAAAATATATATATATAAAAAAAGGATTTTATTTAAACCAGATTTTTTTTTTTATAAAATGCTATTTGAGGAAAAAGCCAAAGTTTCAATTAAGATACAGTATAGCTCAAAGATCTGAGTGCAGCCTTCAGTGATGATCTAGCGTACCATTCTCTCACTAGAAGAGAAAACCTACAATAGCAGCAGCCTATTGGGTAAGACAGGCATGTGTGCAAAATGCAAATAGTGCAACAAAGAAATGCAAGGCCTGGCTGCCCAGAGGAAGCATCACCAGAAGTGTTGCTTCTGAAGAGGAAGCTGTGTTGAAGAGGATGAAAGGAGCATGTCTGAACATACAGGATCTTCAGGTATATGACCAGGGCCGGCCCAAGCTATTCTTGCGCCCCAGGCGCCCGGTGCATATGCGGCCCCCACCCCCAGGCACCCAGCAGCCCCAAAAGGTTGGGGACCACTGCTCTAAGGTACTATCATTTTGATGTAGTTGTGATAAACAGCTGAAATAGGCAGATCTTTCTTTTACAGTTTCATCTTTAAAGTAATACTGGGAGTCAGTAAAGACAACGAACGATACTAAATGAGCAGTATGGTAATAATAGTTAAGTAACTGCATTGACTTATTTTGCTTAGGAGAATCCATCCTCAACATGCAGGATTCTGAACACTATCCACCTTCGAGATCACCGTCATTTTCTACAGTTTCAGAGTGATCTGCCCATGACAGGCTGTCAGTCACATCACGCATGTCACATAGCCACAGTTTATCACCTGTAGCAAAAAGGAAAAAAATCTCCATCCAGAGACAGCCAGAGAGAAGTTTGTGATAAGACCCAGCAGATTACAAAGCGGATTGATGAAAAGACTGCCTGGTTTGTTTATGCCACAAACTCTCCTTTCCGTCTGATTGAGAACACACTTCATTAACATGCTTCAGTGATTCAGACCAGGATACAGTCCACTCTACAGAGCAGATGTTGCAGACAAATTGCTGGATGAAGTGTATGAAAGAGAAACTAAGCAGTGTGCAAAAAGTCTAGCGGGAAAAATTGTTAACCTGAGACTTGATGGGTGGAGCAATGTCCAATGATCCTGTTGTATGTGCTGGTGTTACAAGAGAAGGAGAATGCCTTCCATACTGGAAGAACTGATAGCTCTGGAAATGCACACCTGGCAGAATGCTTACAAGTAGCAGTAAAATCTATAACCAACTGTGGAAAAAATGCAGCTGTCTAGTACGCAGCTTGGTCACAGACAATGATGCAAATGTATCCAAAATGAGAAGAAATTCAGGAGAGAGTTCCAAGCTAACAACATATGGTTGCAGTGCTCAATTGATGCACCTCCTAGCCAAAGACTTCAGTGTTCCAGAAATAAAGGCTAATGTTGTTGAAATTGCAAAATATTTCCATAACAACCACTTTGCAGCAGTTGCTCTGAAAAAAGTGGGAGGAGCCACGCTAACGCTCCCACAAAACGTGCGATGGAACTCAGTAGGGGACCGTTTTGAGCACTGTACCAAGACATGGCGTATCTGATGACAGTTTCTGAACAAAACCACGAAAACATAAATGGCACTGCCACAGCCAAAGTTCTCAACACTGGGCTTAAGAGACGTGTTAAACACATGCTGAGTATCCAGAAGCCTATGTCTGTAGCCTTGAACAAAATGCAGGGAAATAGCAGGAACTGAGTGAGATTTTAAAACGAGAAATATGCAATGAGAGAGTTAAATTATAAGCATTAAACAAAAGAATGGGACAAGCACCATCTCCAGCTCATTTTCTTGACAAAATTCTCAAAACTGGGTACCACAGTCAGACCTTAACTACTGAAGAGGTATTGGCTATGACATGGGTATCCAGCAATCATCCCTCTATAATGCCAACTAGAACCAACTTCACAGCTAAGGGTAAACCATTCAAGATGTCCGCTGATTAGGTTTTTAAAGAAAGACACACCAGTGAACTGGTGGAAGTTACTGAAGCACTTCCAGTCAGAGACAGCTGAAGTGATCATCTCACTTAACAGCAGTAGCTTCTTCTGCCGATGTAGAAAGAATATTTTCTTCCGTTGGACTAATTCACTGTAAAGGGGAGATTATCTGGGGCCTGAAAAAGCAAGAAAGCTTGTTTTTATTTTCCAGATTATGAACAAACAAGAAAATGAAGGTGAAGAAAAACCGAGTGAGCTGCAGAAACCAATATTTTACATTTCTCATGTTGACCTAGCTGACAGTCGACTTAAATGCAATTTAAAAAAAACAAATTAACTATTAGTTAAAACAATTAACAAAAAGAAACCAAATTTTAAAAAACTCAAATGTTTAAATTAAAAAATGCATTTGCTCCTTTTGTTAAAATATTATGTTTGCTGTTGAAGAAAAAAACCTAAATACCTAGTTAAATACAACAATTTCAGTGTCTGTCTAGTGATGTTCTCCTCCTAATACAGCATGGCAAGAAAACCCTCCAAATATTAATGATTAACCTGTTGAACTGGAGATAGTTCACCACCCTGTGACATCACATATCTGCTTCAGTGACCTTTGCTAAATGAAATAACCAATCATTCATTTTCTAAAATAGCTGTAAAGCTAATCTGCAAGGTTTGCAAAACACATCACTGTTTAAAAGTGTACAGTGTGTACCTTCTAACAATGAAAACGGCATCTGTCTCTGGGCTGTGAAGAATATGTATTAAGGTACAGTGACCAACAAGAACGCACTTTTACAAAGAAAACCATGATTAAATCAAGACTTCCAGACTAGTGATTTAAAGCAAATCCACCCTGCTGAGTTTAGAAGGGGGCTTGAGTGAATGATGGAGGGAAGGAGCCAAGAGGCTGGAGGGAAAACTGAAGACTTGCAGATGCATGTTGGACAAGGCCACTGTGAGCGTAGACGGCTGGACGAAGGAAGTAGCCCATGGAAGAACGTAATAAGGAGAACAAGGGTGAAGAACAGATGAGCTAGCGTAGGAGAAAGAAGTGAGGAACAGGTTCACTGAGTTAGAAAATGAAGTGGGGAGAAAGTAACAGAAGATGGGAGATCACAGAAGAGAAGAGCGGCTAGCCCTGCAGGAAGAGGGGAAGAAACAATTGAGTTCAAAGACCCAGGAGGACAGGTGATGACGACTCTCAGAAAATTGCAAGCGACACAGAAGACAAGAACAGGAGGCGGAAAGCTGGAGAATCGTACCAACACCACAGAGGCAGGTCTGCATGACTGGAAACCCTCTAAGAGGAGCAGATGGGCCTGTCACACCAGAGCTCATTCGAAAGAACAGAAGGGTGTGCTGCTGGGAGCTAGGGTCCAAGATGTGGATCAGAAGAGGATAACAATGGGCATGTGAAAGATTCCACCAACTGCCCTTCCTGTGGGAACAAATGACAATTCTAGACTCCTGCTGGAACACATCAAGGAAGTCTACGTAGGCTGTGAAGATGCTTAAAGAAATGGTGTCTCGGCTGATCTTCAGTGGGATTCTACCTATCTCTAGAGGAGGAGAGCAGATGTGACACGAGATTACTGTGATCAACAGACGGCTTAGGAAATGATTCTACCCACCGCACCTCCCCACAACAGCACTCTGGTCCAGCAGGACCGGAGAGCCCCAGGGGACTAGTGACAGGAGGGCCGGCAGAGGGAACCAGGACCAGAACCTCCGGAAGCCTGCAGCAGTGGGGGGAGCCAGAGTCCATAGCAGCCCAGCCAGGGCCAGAGGTGGGGGTGGAGGGACTGGCTGTGGTGGAAAACGGAGCTGGGAGCACTGAGGGGCCGTGGGCTGAGGAGCCGGTGACAGGGGATCTCTCCTGGTCCAGCAAGTTCCCTTACTTGGGACTGGTCAGGTCCAGAGGATGCTGTACCAGGGAGGTCCAACCTGTATAAGGCAGGCTTTGGGATGTTGAACCATAGGAGACATTTACACATGGAATTCAGGGCAGATAGTTGAGAGATGCTCACGTAATCGCCAAGGCCAATTCTAATAATGAGCAAGAGGGGAAAAAACCCGAAGCCAATGTCAACAGAGAAAGGAACACCAGATGGTAGAAGAATGGACAGGAAGACAGTGTCAATACCACTGGCAGTGGTGCTGGGAGGGGCTCTGAGGATGATTAGTGGAAGAGAGAAGACTTGCGGGGATTGGTTTGTTTATCCTGCCCTAGCAAAGGCTAGAGAGACCAGTTCTATTTCCCCATCAAAACACATCAGAGGGACACAGAAGAGGGAATTATTTACATTAAGAGCTAACGGGGGCACAAGGACAAATAGATTCAGAACTGGTTATATTGACGAGTCGAGACTTGAAATCAGAGAAGGGTTTCTAACCAGCAGGCGTGAAGCTCTGAGCAGCCTTCCCAGGGCAGAGCGGGGCAAACCCCCAACTGGCATCAAGACTGAACGTGATAAGTGCATAGAGGGGATGACATGATGAGATTGCCTAGTGTCATAGGCTCATCTGCCACTGCTAGCAGCAAATATTTCCAGCAGCCGACGATGGGATATTAAATAGGGAAGGCTCAATCACGGTGGATAATTTTTTCCCCGGTATCTGACTGGTGGATCTTGCTCAGGGACTAACCGATTGCTATACTTGAGGTGAAAAGGGTCAAATTAGCAGAGAGCCTGGGTTTTGGGCTTACCATGCAGTGCGGGACGTTGGTCACTTGATGGTTTGCACTAGAGTAAATGACAGCTTTTTCTGTAAGATTTGAGGACTTTGCTAACTGAGGGATTACAGCATATACAGGAGGGAGCGCATGAGGTCCTGTGGCCTGCAACTAGCAGCTGGTCAGGCTAGAATCCAGATGATCCCTCCTGGCCTTAAAGGCCACGAGTCCGATTTTAAAGAACAATGTGAGCAAGGGCCAGTTAGCTATGGTAGGGCACAGTGGAACAGCACTGTCTGTGAAGCTGTAGATGGTTTAAGTAGCCGCCCCGGACAGCAAGATCAGCTGAAGGTGTGGGTGGCACGTTAGTGACTATGCTAGACTCCTACTACAACATTAGGGACGTTAGATATAGGAATGTTAAATTTAGATTAATTGGCTAATGAAATAGTCGATGTAATTTGCATCAATTAATCGATAAGGGCGCCTCCCCAGGGCTGTTGCTACACTACACAGGTGAAAGCCTGCGGGAACCCAGGCAGTCCCTCGCTGGTCCCGGGCTCCCCGCAGCATTCCAAAGCAGCAGCGCTGCATGGAGCCCAGGGTCACTGGGGGAGTCCCCAGCTGCCTCCAGCTCCCCACAGCACTGCCACTTTGAAGCGCCCTCTTCTCTTCCTCCCCTTGCTGCCTCTCTCTGATAGAAGCAGCAAGGGGGGAGCAACTAGTCAAGCAGTGTGTCGACTAGTTAGTCACACCCCTAGTTAGAAAATGTGTAACTGAATAGTTGTGTAACCACATTACATTTTAGCTGTTACACAACTATTGGATAATCCCTGGGGGCAGGGCTGGCAGCCAGTGTACTCCCAGCCCCACTCCCGGGAGCCTGACACTCCACCTGCCACCCCACAGGAGGGGACAGGCAGCACCATGGAGCCTGCATTGGGGGGAACTGGATTTTAAGATGGTTCCCCCTAGCAGCGGCTCCTGTCTGCCCCACCCCCATTGTTTCTGAAGGATGCAGTGGGAGGGAAGGGGGAAAAGTGGGTCCGTGGAGCCACATAAGCAGAGAGCTTCCCAAACATATTGGCTCCTGTCTGCCTCCCCCCCCCTTCCCCCCCCGAGCAGCTGCCTTTCTATCAACTGCAGGCAGCTCCACAGTATCCAGTGCTCATGGGGAGCCGCCTTTTAAGCTGGCTCCTCACAGACACCAACGCCTGCCTCCTCCTTCCCTCCCCCGCTGCCTTCGGGGCAGCACCGGGGGGGGGGGGGGGGAGTCGTAGACAGGATTAACCAATAAGCCCAGGCTTATCTGTGAATTGTGTAGCTGTCGACATGCTGACATCCCTAGACAACATCAGACAACTTTTGTGCAGTGTAATTGTTTCTCTCCATGGCCAAGGGTCCACATCACAACACGACACCACCACAACCCGCAGTGCGTGGCAGATCTGTTAACAGCTTCCACTGAAGTGCCACGGTTTGAAAGCATCTTAGAGACTGAATTCTCAGCTCACCTCTAGAAGCACCTCCATGACAGGAAGGAAACACTTTGGCAGTACCAAAAAACATGCCTGGATGCTGGCCTGTAACATCTGACCAGCTGCACAAAAGGGATAATACAGGCTCTTTGGAGCACTTAGTGTCAAGGGGCTGAATTACAGAAGTGGGAATTGTCTCCAATTAGGAATTAGTCATTAGTATAACAGTGGACAAGCTCCCCACCCTTCATCTAATTGCCTGACAATGCAATGAGAGGGTTGGCCCAGGAGAGCTGAGCTGTCTTTCTGAAAGTCTGTGATTACGCACTCTCAGAAATGAGCAGGGTATGTGTGTTGGACTTCATGCTCTTCACGCTGCCTGTCTCTTGCCAGCCAGTCATTTACTGCACACACACAAGTGCACCTATTTGTACCGGGTCTGCAATGTGTTTTTTCAAACCTGCCTCTCTTCCCCTCCCCATGTATTGTTTTAGAACTCTCCAGTGATATTAATGAAAGAAGTTGAGCTCTGGAAGTCCATACAAATTAAAAAGTTCTGTAAATAGCTTTTTGTGCTCAACCCCCAGAGCCAGTATGCAGTAGTCTGTGAAATCCTGAGTCAGCTCAGGGCTCCTCATCTTACACACCATCCCGTCAAGCAGTGATCACTTACAGCTTCAGTGTCAGATGGTAAGAGCAACATTTGCCTTTTCAGGCGTACACCCTTACTTGCAAACACATCTCTCTGAATGCAGGAACATTTGCTCACCTTTAATGTGGAGGCCAAGCTGGCCACGTGCTCATTCAAGGTGCTCTCCGACTCCTTGTAAGTTAGGCAGGTAAACTGATATTCTTCTGGATCAAAGGCATCAGCTCCCTGCTGCTCCACGTCATTAGCTACCCCAATATAATAATCCTCCATATCCCCAGGATCCTCCTCCTCTTCCTCCTCCTCACAGTTAGGGTCATAATCCTCTTCATTGCTGTCAGAGCCCTGGCTGTTCATGTCCACGGACATCTTACTGCCCTGCCAAACGGCAGACCATGAAAGCAAGCGCAGCTTCTCTCTGCAACACTTTTTCACGCCTCTGAATGCATCTGACTTCTGTCTCCTGTGGTAGGAGGAAAAACACGTTTATTTGTGCACCTAAGACAGGGCAGCAGGATATTTCGGTGCCACGCAGAAGACAAAATAAAAGCACTGATCTGATGCTGAGTTCAAGAGCAACATGTAATGACACAGGCCCCTGACTAGAGATCAGCTCTGGCGCCTGCACCCGAAAAACTTGAGCACAGCTCACTAGTGCAATTCTCAACCTCCAGTGGGGAGGGCTTACTGCACTGCTTCCTAGTGCTCCTGCCAGGACTTACGGACAGCTTGCCATCAGGGAAATCACCGTGTCACCCCCACCACACAGGCTGGGCAGCAATTAGGAACGTGAAAGGTCCACTGGTTCACTGCTAAGTATCATCCCAATGGGTGATGCTTACCGATTCCGGTTAGCTGTTAAGCGGTGGGGGATGGGGTAGGGATGTGAACAACTAATCGATTATCCGATAAGCAAATGCTTATCAGATAGTCGAGTCGACTAGTTGCTTCCCTGCCCCAGGTGCCTCTATCAGAAAGAGGTAGGAAGGGGGGGAGGGGGTACTTCAAAGCGGCAGTGCTGTGTGGAGCCTGGGGCCAGACCCCGGGGGCTCCACGTGGCGCTGCTGCGTTGAAATGCCACATGCAGCCCAGGGCCAGCTGGGAGTCCCCAGCTGGCCTCGGCTGCATGTGGTGTTTCCAAGCAGCAGCACCC